TGACCCAAAGCTCAACAAACAAAGCCCACAACCTCCTCTTCTTCCTCCTTACACTCGCTGCCCCTCTCTCTCTCTCGAGCTCTCTCTCTCTCTCTCGACGACAGCAGGTTGATGTGGCACGGTGGAGCTCCGGCTGCTGCGACGACGGCTTGGCGGTGGCTCGGCGACGGTGGGGCGAAGGGCTGGTGGTGGTGGCGGTGAAGCTACGGGTTGGGGGTGGGGTTTAAGTGATCTCACAGGTAGAGAAGAGAAGAAGAAAAGCGAATGTGGGATTTTAGTGATTTGGGAGAAATTGGGGAAAAAGATGATTTAATTTGGGGATTTTCGTAACACCCCCCAAACAAGACCTATATAAAAGCCTTAACACATGCAGATTAAACAACAAAACAAGCACAACGGAAGATAAAACGACAACTGGATAAAAGAAATCCGAACGGGGTGTCACGCCACGTCTACCAAACACGGTAAACGCTACGGCAAACAATTAGCAAGTGTATACATCTATCCCAAAAACATCAGTCTACAACTACATGGGCACACAGGCCACAAAACAGGGATAAAGGTGCTAAGCTACCAGGCACTAGACATCGCGCTCGTCTAAACATCAACTGAAAGATACAAAGAAAAACATTGGGACGACGCCCGGTCAGCGATAAATGCTGGTAACCCACCAATACATGTGAAATATCATACATAGATAGATATAAGGTGTAAAACCATTTTCGAAACGGAATATATATATATAAGTCAAAACCAAGATCAACAGTCAACACAAAACTCATCACTCATCAATAAACACCTCGGGAACACATCCCAAACCACAATGGTTAACCACAACGCAAAGGATAAAGACTCACCCAACGCCAACATATGCCAAAGCAACACATGCCTCCGTGACTACACACGTCATGAGAGAAGAACACACAACGCCGACTTTACAAGCCCTCACAACATCACCCATCACGAGTTGATATGCCTTCCTTATGCCCTGTTCCAACCTTATGGCTAACCCCAACCTTATATCTTCTTCCAACCATTACCTCCAGGACCCCTGAACTTCTTAGTCCAACCTTATTCCCCCGGGACCGTCGTCCCCCACCAACGACCACCAACGAGACCACCAATTCATAGTACACAAGGTACCATACACGGCAACACATGCACGGATAACACATGTTATCCCCCAAAAACGTGAACGTTATACAAAGGCCACAACTCCATAATCACGTCACGGCCACCAAGAGGACCGATGCAATACCTTGTTGACTAGTGTCCCATACTACTAATCGTGCAATCCAGGTAAAGCCACACACGCACCACAACTCAACAAGAGTCAAACAACGGATCACAACGAAGGTATGAAACATACTCAATCAAGGAACGGGTCACAACCCAACAACAGCAACGATGAATAACACAAGTTATCATCAACCAAACGGAAGGTACAAACCACACACACGCTAGCATTAAGACAATAAACTAGCATGCTTAACAACGGAGAAACTCAAGACTGTTCCGAGGAACACACAAGACACCTCTTGGTCCAACGAAACACAATGTTGAACACTTAGCACGATTCAAGAAACCAAAGTCCTACATGGATACCTACCATATAGTTCTAGACATACGAAACATCAAAAAGACACTCAAATAGTTCCACAAAAGAACATCGGGAAGTCTAAAGACCAAATATCGAGTCAAACGGATCACGGGGAACAAATCCCATCTCAACACCATTGTGTTCCCCGCGGGTGGACCCACGGGTAGGCTCCCACCCGTGGTTCCGCCCGCGGGTACACTACCCATGAGGCTTATATTCCCCGCGCGTGGAGCTCGACCCATCGTTCCGCCCGCGGGTACATATTCCTGTGCAAAATAATCCCTTCGGGGATTCTCTTCTCTAAACACAAATTCAAGTCCAAAACATGCCAAACCTCACCCAACACAACAAAATGACTTGAATCATGGAAAATGCCAAGCAATGGCACAAAGGAACCCTAAACACAAGGTCTAGATATGCAATATCACAAGACAAATGCATAAACCCTCATATTTCATAGCAAAACACATGTAGAATCCAAGAAATCACATATAGGTAAGCAAAATAGGTTTTTAGAGCATGGGTTACCTCTTGTAGACCAAAAGACTTCACTTTACGCCACAACAAGCTAACCACAAGGCTTACTTACCAAACCCACTTCAAGATCAAACCAAAAGATCATAAAGATCCTACCTTTAATAAAAAAGACAACTAAGATGGAACCAAAAACACAATATGGACTTAGATCTTACCCTCCTAGATACCCAAATAGGTGAAAGGTTGAATCTTGGAAGCAAATCTTGAAATCTTGACAAGGGTCTCAACTTGGCTTGGAGAATAAGCTACACTTCTTTCCTAGAGAGAATGTAGAGCTAATTTCTAAGAATTGTAGGGAATGAAATGAAGAAGTATTCTAGGTTAGGTTACAATACTAACTCTTGGTGAAAAGTCAAGAATACCCTTACTAACCCTTAGAAAGTGTAAGGAACAAGGGAACTCCCCTCAAAGCTCAAGGTACAACACAATTTTAAGGTTGACTAGTCAAATACTAGTCCTTGAGTATTAAAAATCAGGATTTTAGGAATTAATTCTTCAAATAAAATAGGATTAATTACTCAATTAATCCATGGATTGAATGTGGATTTTTGGGGTGTCACATCCTCTCCCCCTTCAAAGAAGCTTCGTCCCCGAAGCTTGGGTACGACGAATTAAAGGCAAATGGTGAAAGAAAACAACATTGTGACAAGAAGTTCAAGAACAACTCTTTTGGTCAAAGACTCCAAAAGAACTCACAAGGATTCCAAAGCAAAGAAGTATTCAAAAGCAAGAAAGAAGGCATTTCAAATTCATGGATTGGCAAGAGGTTAACAAACGGATAGATTGAGCATCAAGAACTCTAACCTCAACACAACCACCAACTTCTAGACAACAACCAAGAACTAGACTACTAACTCCAAACACGAACTATTAAGCTAGATAAACAACAAGGCAACAAACAAAAACAAGCAAGCACACAAAGCAAACAGCAACCGACCACCAAGCTAACAACAGCTAAGAAGGAAACAACAAGGAAAAAGGCGAACGGCATTACCGCAACACAAGCTAGAACTCCTCACTCTCCGACTCCTCGGCCTCTTTAGACTCCTCTTCATCTTCGTCTCGGCGGTTAGAACTGGCTTCAATCTGATCCAGCCTCTGATGCACTGCGGCGAACTGCACCTTCAAAAACGCAAAGCCTTCGGCGATCATGCTGTTATGCGGACGAAGCAAGGTGACAACACGCTCCTCATGCGCCATGACGTCATGCTCCCTCTTCGTGCGAGCTTCTTTCCTTCTCTGGCTTTCCCCATTGTCCGAATCACTTTCTTCAGCTTCGGCGGCCTCCGGTGCTCCTACTTCCTCTTCTTGGTCTGCTTCCTCCTCAACTTCTTCGTCACCGCCCAAACACTGGACTACGAGGCTCAACTTCCCGGCATGGATTCCAAGCTCAGCAGCTAACTCCGCCTGCTCATCAGGTGCTTTCCTTGCAACCTCTTCAAGCGTGATGTACTCACCATCATCCAACCGACACAGATTGCAACTCCGAAGATTGGTGGTATCCAACACCATCCTTCCCACGGCCTTCGGGAGGCAACCGTCCACACTAACACCCTTCTTAACCAAGATCCAACTCAACACCATCCCATATGGTAAGCTATTCCGATTGTGATCCCGGCAAAACACCATGTGTTGCAACATCAAAGCAGGCATGTTAAACATAACCATGTTCTTGAGGCAAAAGGCAAAGGTGCACTCCAACTTATCCAACAAACTGCTTTTGTTGTTATTAGGCAACAAACAATTCGACACCAACATCACCAAGATCCTTTGGTCCGCTGACAACCACTTCTTCTCCGGCCTAGAGGCTTGAGTGAAACCACTCGTACGGCCCACCAGGTAGCTCAAATAGTCATGGTACCCCATGGTATCCGTACTAATCTAAGAATGACCACTGTACTAAGCCACTCCGATAGCAGACAAACTCAACAACTGAGCCAACCTCTTTTCAGATAACACAACCTTCACACCTCTCCCCTTAGAGGTGATCTCCAACTTATCACCCTCCTTTGTCACAACCATGTGAGGGTAAAACTCTTTCACCAAACAAGGGTAAGTCTCGACCCTTATTGCGAGAAACCCATCCAACAAACCTTGATACCTAAACATGTCCAACAAGGAGCTAGGAAAAGATTCTGGATCAAAAGCTTTACCTTCAAGGACGAGGTAATGGGTATCCACCCATTCCGTTTTCCTTGCCAAACTTGACCTTCTAGGCATGATTGAAGATGATCCAAAGCTCAACAAAAGGACCCAAGACTTCTCCTCTTTCTCTTCTCTCTCTCGCTCTCTCGCTCGACTTCTCCCTCTCGGCGGCGGCGACACGACGGGGCTCCGGCGAAGGGCGGTGGCTCGGCGACGGGTAGGTGGGGGTGGCTGGTTGCTTGTGAAGCTACAGGGGGTGGGGTGCTCGGCTACACACGGGTGGGAAAGAAGAAAATTGAAGAAGATTTGGGAAATTTAGGGATTTCGGAGAAATTGGGGAAAAGATGATTTAATTTTGGGGATTTGGGTAAGGTGGGAATTTGTGGTTTAAATCACTACTACAGAAATCACTTTTAACGTCAGGGATATGACGTCGGTTAAATGAACAACCGACGTTAAATATTTTTTATAATTTACATTTTTTTTAAAAAAGACCTATAACGTCGGTTTTGTCATAAAACCGACGTTTTAGGTCCATAAAATAAAAAAAGAAAAAAAATAAAATACTATCCGACGTCGGTTAGAAGTCGTATATAATTCCTTTTTTTTATTATTTTTTTTCAAGGATTCGACGTTGGATATTCAAATATCCGACGTCGTATCTTTTATATATTTTCTTTAACAAAATAAAAATTAAGATCTGGAACAAATTAAAGCGCCATCGTCAATAATAAATAAACCTAGCACTCCACCGCAGCTCGCACTCCACAGCCGCCCCACCGGTCCACCGCGTCGCACACTCGCCGTCCTCCGCGTCGCACAGCCGCCGTCCACCACGTCGCACATCCGCAAAAAACAAGAGATACGAATTCTGTTTCGATGGAGCTTACGATCGAGATGCGGTTGAAAGATCTGGAGTCTTGATGCCGATTGTGAGAATCTTAGAGAATGAGTGGGTGAGTTTGGCTGGAATTTAGAGAAGCGTCTCATTAATTAGGCGATTTGGGCGAAATAGGCTGTCATTGGAGCGAATTACAGCGGAGATTCGAACAAGTCTTCGTATTGACGGTGAGGCGTAGGTTGGATCTGTGAATGCAGGAAAGATTCCCATAGGATTCTACACACTCCGCACTGTGAAACTCAAACTTGGTTTGGTCAGTTAATTTAATAACCGCACATCATTTTCTTCATTCTTCACTTTAATTTCTTGCATCCTAGCTAATCAATCCCAATTATTATTCATTTTATATTCTGTTATGTATATATGTAGGTTTTTACACATCTTATAGTTGATCCATTTGATGATTAGTTTTGCATTGGCCATGAATTCCTGGTCGTTTTAAATTGCATGCAAAGTTGGGTGAATAAGTTTGCATATATGTATCTCTAATGGTATTAACATTATATATATATATATATATATATATATATATATATATATATATATATTGTATGTTTATCTCTAATCTAGGTGCTCCCACTAGAAGATGGTCCTTTGAGTTCTGTATGGAGAAACGAAGGAATTTATGTCAGTACCATAGATACTAATGGAAGTTTGAAAGTAGACTGGCTAAAGTATGTCTCGATCTGCCTTTTTTAAACTAACATTTGATAGTTTTGTGTTTTTGAACTAAAGACTACTGCATTGATTGTTTCTTGTTTTCTTTTGTTGAACACCGTATGTACCATTGCAGAAATGAGAAACATTCTTCTGTGAATTTAATTTTAGACTAAATGAAATCGATCTGCTTGAGTACAATCCAATTCTTAACCATGTCCATATATTTCTTTAAACATGTAGTCTGCTTTTGTTGTGAGAATTCTCCATATATAGAAGTCCGTTGATTTCTGTTTGATGTTGCTATCCCCTTAGGATTTGAGCTGACTGTGCTATGCAGGTGAAATAGGTTGAAGAAACAAGTGAACATCTTTTATTAGCCCTCAAGGCAGAGTAGGAAGAACTAGAGTCATCCCTCAACAAAGAAAAATTGCAAACACTTTAGTTGAAGCAAGAGTTAGCAGATGCGGAGACTCGCAACACTGACCTATACAAGGTAACTACTGCTGGCCTGCCACAATTTGAGCTGAATATGGTTCCTCATTCTATTATCTCCCACAATTCCCATTCTTGACTAAAGTATGCCAGAATGAACCAGCAAGCTCTAAAATTTTGTAAAAGTGCAGATTGGGTGTTTATTATTGCCTCCCATATCAGCAGGAGCTAGATTTTTTGTTATCCAAGAAATTTTCAATATATTACTGCAAGCATTAGTTCTCTTCTTTACTTCCAATGGAAATAGTTGAACCTAGGATACATTAGAAGAACTTGTTCCTTGTTACTTATTTTACTATTTCTTTTTCTAAATCCACTAGTTTTACATTTTAATATTTATATTTACTTTTCTCATGAGCTGTGTATTATGTTTTATGACATTCTAATGCTACCATTATCTTTATTATATATCTTATTATATATGAAACTTCGATAAATTTATCATGCAGTTAAATGGTTTGTGCTAGTTAGGACATTTATTTAATTTACTAGGATAAATAAATGGTTTGTTTGTAAATGATAGTCTACACATTATTCAGTTAAATGGTTTGTTTAAAGGATAAATTTACTATCCAAATTTGAAGAGGATGGTCTATCTTGACGGGCACTTTTGTAATGAAGTTACTATGCAAGCTTAGAGTGCAATGCAAGGATAAATTCGATATGCAATGCAAAGATAAATTTGTGATTCAGAGCACAGCCAGAATGGCTTACCATTTATACCATTTCAGTTTTTTTTAACCGACGTCGTATCATTTACATACAACGTCTGCTGTGACAACGTCGGCAGAAAACTGACGTTAAAAGTGTAAAAAACCCGACGTTAAAAGCAGTTTTTGTAGTAGTGAATGGAATTAAAATTGGTTAGGTTTGAAGAAAGACAATTGGCTCAAGTGGTTTAGAGGTTGGGTTCACAAGGAATTGTTGTAAGAACAACCAAGTATAAAGATTGTAGAATTGGCCCAAATCGCAAAACATGACAAGGATGGATTGCTAACTTCACAACGAAGCTTATATACCAAACTAAAGAAATCACTTAACAAGAACAGTCTACACTAAACCCCAAAAGAGTTGCTATCAAAGAAAGGCATACCAAAGATTTCCAAGCAAAAGACAACTACGAAACACAATGTATCACTCAAGACACAACAAACACGATGACTTCGGAAAAAGAAACAAGGATAGGCTAGAAGAAAGGGGTTACCTGCCACTTCATCCTCCATCAAGCTCTCCGACTCAGCATGTGAACGCGCCCTCACAAAAACCCTTCCAGGTGGCCTAGCTCCGACAGCTCCGCGACCCAAACTCTCTCCCGATGCTCCTCCGGCTCTCGGGGGTGGCGGTAACGCTCTCTGACCGGCAAGCTGGGGACACTCCGCGACTCTGTGACCACGATCTCCACATCAGAAACACCTAAACGCCAAGCCATGACTGCGACACCCCGATTATTTTTTATAATATTATTTCATATTAATATCCTTCAAAATTATTTTGAATGATCCAAAATTATATTATTATAATTATTATATTATTTAATGTTACCCAAAATCATTTGGGACTAATTACTATTATTATTTTAAAGCTCTCTCTTATTTCTAAATTATATATAGTAACTAATTTTCCTATTTCTTAAACTAATATATATATTTATATAGATAGATATGTTACGTATTCTTAAACTAATATATATATATATATTTATATAGATAGATGTTACGTGTATATATATATATATAGAATAATGCTCAAATGTGGCAGTGTAGTTAAGTGTGGCAGTGTGGTTATATTTGAACCGTTGGATCAAGGCAATCTAACGGCAGAGGCGTATTTTCAAAAATAAGGAAGAGTTGTTTGCGTTTTGGTAAGTGGGGGTAGTTATGTAATTTCATTTACATGGTTACGGGAATGTATATAAGGTAATTTCTATTCTCTTCTGTTCTATATATGTAAACTCGGAGAGAATCGGCAACTTGGTGAAGAGAAGATCAAGATAGCGATCACATCGCAATTTCGGGAAGTTCAAGATCGCGATCGGTTCGCAAATCGGAGAAGGTCGCCGGAGATCAGTTGGTAGGGTAATCTGAGTATACCGGGCAGTTTGTGCGATGGAGAATGGTATGTATTGATGTATTGACGTTTGTAGTTTTATTTTGATCATAATAATATGCGTTTGTTATGTCATGGATGTGTTATATCGGTTTTATATGGATTGATATTGTTCTTGGGGGTGAGATAAGTCGATGTTGCTGTACGACGTTGTGCGTTAATGCGTGAATACAGTGCGAAATTTGAATCATCGTGGTGCATATTAATGTAGTATAGCGTTTTTTTATCTGGTTTGATATTTTTCTGGTGGTGAGATAAGTCACTGTTGTTGTTACGATGTTGTGTGTTATTGTGTTAATATAGTGTGAAAGTTGCATGATTGTGGTGCATATTAAGTACTATAGTATTTTATGTGTTTTGTAGTTACCAAATGTCATGCATTGGTTATTTTAGTGTGTTATTATATATACATGGTGTGCAGCTATTATTATGGACCCGGTGGGCTTTGTTTGTGATAAAGATACGTCAATTGATGCCGGTGTAGAAGGCAGTGGTGGTGTATGCAATACAGAGCATTCCACTGATGGTGGTCATATTGATGGTTGCGTAGAAGGAAGTGGGAGTCAGTGTGATGAAGGGAATTCAACTGATGTTGCTGTAAAGACTAGTGGTCAGGGTGCCAGTGAACACTGTTTGACTGATGTTGAGGCGGAAGACAATGCATGTGTTTTGGAAACGTCTCCTGGGTTGACTAAGTATTGGCGTCCAGTTTGCACTGATAGTTTGAAGCCTATGGTGGGGCAAACGTTTGATTCATTGGATTGTGCTATTGTTTTTTATAAACAGTATGCTGGGTATGTTGGTTTTGATTGTAGAAAGGGTACAATTCGGAGGAGGAGGGATGGTGTTGTTGTGGAGAGACAGGTATTTTGTAGCCGAGAGGGGTTTAAACAGAGTATTTATAGTACTCAATCTACGTGTGTTGGTGATGGTAAGCCTATTGTTGTGAAGAGACGGAGGGTGACAAATAGGGTTGGCTGCAAGGCTAGAGTGGTGTTTAAGCGTAAGTCTAATGGACTGTTTGTTGTGCATTTTTTGGAGGAACGACACACTCATGTGATGTGTTCAATTATTGCTAAGCAGTTTTTAAAGGTGAATCGTAGTCTTGATACTGGCCATCAAATGTTCATTGCAAGTTGTGTTCGGGCAAATATTGGGTATGTTCGATCGTATAAGCTGTTTAAGGAGATTGTTGGTGAGTATTCCAATGTTGGGGCTACTGGGGTGGATTTTAAGAATTTCAAGCGTGATTTGATGGCATACATATTGAATGGTGATGCTCAACTATTCATAGATACGCTTTTTAAAAGGCGTGAATTGTGTGAGGCTTTCGAGTTTGAATATGACGTTGATGATGTTGATCAGCTTACAAGGGTTTTTTGGGCAGATGCAGTATTAAGGAAGAACTTTGCATTGTTTGGTGATGTTGTTTTATTCGATGCTACATACCGATCTAACAGGTTAGTAATTTATAGTTATTGTGTATTATGTATAATATATTGGTGCATATTTTGATTTCAAATAGTGTGTTTTGTTATATTTAGTATATTCAGTAGTTATTGGGTTGTGCATTATGTAGGTATAATTTGGTGTTTGTCCCATTTACTGGAATTGATAACCATAAGAGATCCATCACATTTGGTGTTGGTTTACTTACGAGGGAAGACGTAGACTCATATGTTTGGCTTTTGGAGAGATTTAAGAAAACCATGCGTCATGAACCTATTTGTGTCGTTACTGACCAAGATCCAGCTATCAAGATTGCAGTTGCTCGTGTGTTTGGTACATCAAAACATAGATTCTGCATGTGGCATATAATGTGCAAGGTTGGCGAGAAGGTTGGACCGGTTTTAGCTAAGGACGAGGTGTTTAGGAGGAAGTTGAATGGCATTGTTTGGAACAAATCTATAGATTCCAAAACTTTTGAGGATTTATGGAGTCGTATTATAGAGGAATATGGTTTGGGTGATAATGGTTGGTTTCGTTACTTGTTTGAGTCTCGTACATTTTGGGCATCTCCATACTTTCATGATGAGTTTATGTCGGGATTTGTTAGGACAACATCTCGATCAGAGTCTCAAAATAGTTTTTTTGGCAGTTTCTCCAATGGTCATTCCAGTTTGGTTGAGTTTTTGGTGCATTTTGATAGTGCTATTAGTGCACAACGACATGCCCAAGCAAAATTGACTGCTGACTCTGAATCATGCTTTCCTGTTTTGAAGACTCCATTGGCGCTGGAGAAACATGCAATGGATGTCTATACCATTTCTGTATTTTATGATGTGCAAGTAGAGATTTGTGAAGGTTGTTTTTCTTGTCGAGTGGTGTCTTTGTGTGAGTGCGAGGGTAAGGTGTGCTATGGGATAAAAGATGGTGACAAGAAGGCATGGTCTGTGGAGTTTTTGTTGGCTGACTGTAGTGCTATATGTTCATGCAAGATGTTTGAGCGGATGCGGTTGGTGTGTAGGCATATTTTTTTTGTGTTTAAAGATCATGGACTTGAGAGAATTCCTTCTATGTATTTGGTGTCTCGGTGGACAAAAGGTGCTAGTTTGAAGCCAATATTTGATATTGATGATACGGTTGTTGACCAATCGGCTAAAGTGGACAATGTTAGGGTGCTTACTAATCTAATGTGGTCTGAAATTTATGCTTGCGTGGGATTGGCTGATGGTAATGTAGAACGGTTGGAAAAACTAAGATGTGTTATTTGTGAGCAAAGGGAGTTTTTTTATCAAAGATGGGTGTGAGGATAACAATGGGGTAGCTGGTAGCAGCAAAGAAAGTGTGATTAAATCATTTTGTGGTGATGTGTCTCAGGGGTCAACAGTGGAGGTGCGTGATCCAATTAAAGCTAAGAACAAGGGCGGCGGGAAGCGGATGAAGAGTGCAAGGGAGAAAGCTGTGAATAAGTGCGTAAAGCAATCAAGGAAATGCCATACTTGTGATGAATATGGCCATAATAGTAGGACGTGCCCATTAAATGGCTAGAGTTTTGTGTTGTTTTCTTAGTTGGTTTGTATTGTGGAATTTGAAGTTTTTACAGTTGTGTAGACATTTTATAACACAAAGAATTCGGATTTTGTAGACATTGTGGAATTGTGCGTTTTACAATACATAACGGTGCGTTTTGACACACAATTTGGTGTATTTTATAGTGTATTCTGAATTACATGTGTGATTGTGGTGTGTTTTATATGTGAGATTGGTGTATTTAAAGGTATGCAGATGATTCATAACACAGAATCAGATTTTTTGGAGTGTGGTTGGTATTGTGCATTTTATAATAGACAGTGGTGCGTTTTCAGTCATATAGTGGTGCATATTTATATATATTCAACCATGTATTATGGTTTTGAATGTAGTGTATATTACAGTCAGAATAGTGTATACTGAATCATGTAAATTGATTATAATAAATATCAATGGTGTGTGTTTACTTGTGTGGTTGGTGTATTTTACAGGTATGCAGACGTTTTATAACACAGAAATATTTGTGCATGTTAGAATATATCATGGTGCGTTTTACTATAGCATATGGTGCATTGTTATAGCGCAAAAAGAGCACATGTAGTTGTCAGATTAGATGTCTGGCATCACAAAAATTAACTGCTGGTCATCAAAAACCACAAAAAAACATGTCAAGTCAGAGATATTCACAGTGTCTTTCTTCCACATTAATGTCATGCTCAAAGCCGGAACTCTGCTGCCTGCTGAATGTTTCTATGTTTGTGTTCATTTAAGTCTGACATGATTAGGGCAGCCATGTATCGAACTCGTAGCTTGTTCAACTGGTCCTTGTTGTCCTTCTGAAGTCCACACTGCTACTGATCATATGTCTGCCCTCGGAAAGTCTCTAAATGTCGCATGAGAAAGATCCCACAATCTACCTTGTTGTGTGCATCTCTCCAAGGCATTTTCATTATCTTAGATTTCACCTTGTTCACTTTCTCAGCCTTGTATGAGGATTTCAGGTCAGACAAGAACCTTGACAAGAATTTTTGCTGCATCAAGTAATACAATCTGAGCATTTTTTGTTGTAGTTGTGCAGTAATTATATGTAATCAGACAGGGTTTAGTGCGTTACCATATTTGCAAGCACAGTCCCATACTTGTTTTCTTTCTTCAAAGTGACAGAAGAGTTGTCAATAATGTCAAATCTTTCCATTAGTGGGCAAATGGAAAGCAGGTAGTAGTGGTTGCATGATACAATTGGAAACAAAAACTGTTATAGAAAAAAGATATGTTTTTTACGGGGGTTAGTACGAATCTTGGTAATGCACCACAAATAGATAAACAGTAGGATGCATCAAATGTATATTAACATCTTACGTATAGAATGCTGTTCCACCTAACGTCGCCAGCGATGAGTTTGTCTTCAAGGTACTTTGATTTGAATCTTGCAAATCTAACGTCCTCATCTCCCTGTGGGTCCACAACGGTGTACAACTGCAAATTGTAAGGGTATTTTTGTTAGTACTGTAAGCTGGTTAAAGTTGAAACTAGGTTTATATGTTCAACTCACTGTTGTCCATAACGAAGCAATGAACTTCGTACATCCTCTTTCTGACTCACGGATGTTGATTATGGCTGCCCAAGCATCAATTATAGAGACTGGGATCTGTGAATCTGGCCTCATTGACAGCATATCTCCCCAATGGATTACCCTTCCTTCATACTTGAACAGTTCTTGGGTCCTATTGAAAACAAAAGAAATATGTTAGGTATAAAACACAATCAGTCACTAATCATTTAGTATAAACACACCAATAGTTAACGTAATATACACTAATATCACATAGAATAGCACATCAATGTGCATAGGATATTTATACACCAACATCATTATATAATGCACCAAATATTTATAAACAGCACACCATTGTTTCTAGAATGTGTTGTGCTTACAGATTTGGATTAGGATTTTCCAACACCCACTGGCTGATAGCTTCCTCTGTTGCAGATAATGGTGTGTTAATGTCAAGCACGTATGTGATCGGTCTTCGTGCAATTGGGCTGTGCACTCTAGCTGGGCCTTTTCCCTTGTCTGCTGGTTGGGGTGGGGGGGGGGGTGGACTCGATGCAGGGGCTGGCTGCCCTTGGCATTCTGGTGTGACCTGTAATATTTAAAGGTGAGAGCATCAGGTTTTATAGTGTGTTAATGTTGGATTTATTATAGTTTATTACCTCAGTATTAGTGTCAGCTGCGTGAGTCTCATGCAAGGCCTGTTTATGGTGGTCAGAGAGGGGTTCTTGTTGAGCTGTCTCAGGGCATTCTTGGTGTCTGTTTGCTGCTTGATCATCATCCACACCCAACTGAACTTCAGCAGGCTCATCAGCTTCGTTAACATCCTGGTAGTCACGTGCAATTTCACTCACATCTGCCCAGCTTTTGTTTGGTTCATCCTGTGACAATCCCAAGCTGAAAGAGGGTATATCATTTAGGAAGTTCCTTTTGTTCACCGCACGTACAATCTCATCAACTGCTTTCAGAAACTCAGGGTCACTCCAGTAGGCGTCTTCGCTTTGGGTAAATGTCATTTGTCCATCTTCCTGTGCTTTGAATCCTAGCATTTGTCTAGCAGACTCAAAAACTTGCTTGAATGTATGATGTTCCAAAACAGCAGCAGGTGCATTTTCAATCAGTCTGGATATTCTCAGCAAACTTGTTGCAATTGTCCTTGTGTTGCTAGTAATCTCATCAACAAACTCCTGCATATGCACATCAAGGATATAATAAAACACACCAATGTATATCAAAATATGCACTAAATACTATTAAGAAGCACACCATTATAGTACATTATCTTATTCACACAAACTGATTAAGGTACCGCATTGTAAGATGCACAACAGTCAATAGGTTTAAAAACAGTAAAAGAGATATAAAGGAGTACACCATGAATGTGACTCAAGTGGTCTGTTTTACCTGTAACGCAGTGGGAAGTGGTGCATTACTTTCAATAGCCAGTGGTTGGGGTCGAACATCAGATTGTATCAATGGGGGGGGACTTCCTTCTTTGAACGGTGTGCTGTCCAATGGCAAGGCATCTTCAAGACGGCCATATCCAAAGCCACCAGATTTTATCTCTGCTTGTTCTCGTTGACGGAGCAGCTTAAATGTCCAGCTCTTCATGGCAGGGAAGCTTCTTGGGACTGTCCTCCGGTAGAGCACCACACGGTCAACATAGAATATCTGCATTTTGCATTTTAGAGTATTAATTGATCGGTGGGTAATAAATTAGATGCATCTTGCTGGTAGTATATTTACCATCAGGAAAATAATTGGTCCTCCGTATCTCCCATCAACACTGTCCAGCCACGACTGCTTGCTGGTGATGAGCGAATTGATGAGCATTCTACACCAATTTAGATTCTTGATGTTGTCAACATTTTGGAAGTTATCAATGTAGCTTTGGTTGACATAACCATTGACTTGGGCTCAACCAATACACTCATTACAAGCAGTGCAAACTGCCTTTTGAACCAAGGATCAGTAGCATTTAGTCTCAACATATGCTCAGACATAATATGGGGGGTGATGTGGCCGTTAGTCTTTCCAAACATTGCTCTCCAGCCAGCCAATAGTGTAGACACTTCCTTGGATGCCCTTTTAACAATTTCAATGCCTCCCATCGGCAGCCCCATTGTGGCAGCAACATCATGTTCTGTGATGGGTAATCGTTCACCAGTTGGCAGGTTTAACGTGTTGCTCCTAGCGTCATAGTTTTGAACAAGCCAGAGCCCCAACTTCCTTGGGACATTGGTAATATTCAGGTCAAGAAGTCTCCCTAGTCCAATATCTTCTACACTTCTGCGTTGGGGATCAGTTAGGTCTGCAATTGGGTTCATTAATTGGGTGGGAAGGGGTCGTATCTTCAGGCCAGCTTCTTTGTCTTCAACATCCAGTACATCTTCCTCATCATTTGAGCTGGACTCATCTTGATTTTGTTGCTCGGAATCTTCATTTTGCAGCTCAACCTCGATTCTATCAATGAAGTCAAGGGCTTGTTGCCTCCTTATTTGTTTTGCTGCCGGGGGATCTTCTAGTTCTAATGTTTTCCTCTTGGTGTCTGCATGATATAAGCTCAATGTTGAAAAATACACCAATATCAAACTAAAACACACAACAATGTTTTTCAATCTATTCAAGTGATGCAGTCCAGAATACACTATTACTTATTGAAATATACACTACAATCAACAACACAAACACAAGAAATAATACACCAATATAAAACTAAAACACACAACAATGTTTTTTATTATATTCAAGTGATATAGTCCAGAATACACTATTACTTAGTGAAATATACACTATTACTTAGTGAAATATACACCAATATCAAAATAAAACACACAACAATGTTAGTTACCATACTCAACTTAGGTAGGTCAGAATACACCAGTAGGTGTTGAAATGTACACTACAGTCAACACACAAGCACAATCAAAAAACACACCAATATCAAAGAAAAACACACAACAATGTTGGTTACAATACTCAACTGAGGTATGTCAGAATACACCAGTAGGTATTGAAATGTACACTACAGTCAACACACAAGCACAACGAAAAAATACACCAATATCAAAGAAAAACACACAACAATGTTGGTTACAATACTCAACTGAGGTATGTCAGAATACACCAGTAGGTATTGAAATGTACACTACAGTCAACACACAAGCACAATGAAAAAATACACCATTACACCAGTATTTATTGAAATATATTACACGATGCCATTGACAATGCACAGAACAAAAACGATATGGACGAGTGGAAGCATGTAGGTCACTGAAAATACTCTAATTACCTATTTAGTATACACCGATCATCAATTAAAACACACAAAAAGGTCTATTTCGAGTATATATTACAGAATGCAGTGAGTTCATACCCATGCGCGCCGGTTCCTTGCCCTTTTTCACCATTATTCGCCGTCTTTCATGGAGTAAGGAGAGTACGTCGTCGCCGAGAGAGTGAG